TTCTGGAATCCTCATTATTATGTGCCTTTATGTGGATTCATTTTGTTTGTGACTATTCAGAATTCTATGTACTTCATTTATTTGTATGTCAAATTTTTCATCCATGTTTGGAAAATTTTCTGCCATTATTTCTGAAAGAGGTTTTTGATGACATTTGCACTGTCTCCAGATTTCTCACACATTCCAATCAACTTTATACTGTTATTTCATTCACCCTGTCAATTTAGATTGATTTTTCTTTGGTCTATTGAAATTTTTAAGATATTGTTCTCTGCCTGGTAACTGGCTTCATTCCTCTCTTCTAGATCTGATATTCTTTACTTGCCTTCATTCAATATGATGAGTATACTTTCAGCAGTGATTCTAATCTCCATTTCTTTGGATCTGTTTCTTTCATTCTATTTCTTGTGTAAGTTTGACATCCATGTTTTCTATCATTTTCTTGAGATCCTTTATTTGTTTATCTGTGTCTGTTTTAATATCATGCCTTTTGATAGTCATTTCTTTGTGGGCCTTAGAGATTATTTTTCTATGGCCTCTTCCATTTGTCTTTTTATTTCTGCTGATATTATTTCAAAGATTACCATTTGTTAGCTTTTGATTTGTTCTATCCCTTTGTTTTCTGAACTTGTCCTGAGTGGGATGGTTGATTGAGATTTTATTTCTTTTTCTTTTTTTTTTTTGGTCTTTTCATTTTCTATTTTCTGTTATTTTGTTGATGCTGCTTTTATATTTATAATGTTAGATAGCCTTATCACTGACATCAAGGCATTTCAAGAAGGTATCTGTTCCTCAGAATGTCTCCTCTAGGCAGTACTAACTTTACTTCTCTTTAGGCACCTCCATACTCTTTTCACCAGAATTATTGTATTTCTTTCACTGGCAAGTATCCCCAGACAATGGAAGAAAACAAAATGTGTGGAAGTATACTCCTTTTGCTAGCACCAGCCTCCTGGGGAAAATGGAGCACAGAACATGGATCTACCATTTACTTACAGCACAGCTGTTATAGGGCAACAGAGGAAACACAGAGCTTGGATCTACACTCCTCTCCATTAATCTCAGGCATCAAAGTGCAAACTCACATTACAGACAGCACCACTATCCTGGTGCAATTTAAGATGTGCAGGGCATAGATTGGCAGTCCACTTCCAAGCATCACTGTTCCAGGCACAGTGGAGGTAGGTCAGAGTGCAGACTTATACTCCACATGTAGGGCCTATACACTGAGATATCAGGGGCATATCCACACTCCACACTCTTCTCATAGGTACCATCCTCCTTGGGCTAAAGGAGGAAGTATGTGGTATAGACATCCTTGCCCTAGGCTGATGCTTCCTTCCAGAGGCAATCAAGAAATTATAGAGCACCAACTCACACTGCTTGCTGGCACCACAATCCTGGACATAATGGAGAAAGGGTAAACTACTGACCTATACCCCATAGGCAAGGTGCTAACTTGTATGAGCTTCCTGGTGACAATAAGTTTCTTTTCCCTATGAAGTGAAAAGATCCTTATCCAAAGAGGTTCTATGTTCTTCCTCTCATTTACACACCATTCTGTTATTACTTCCCTTCAATTTACATATGTATTTAATGTAAATCACTGCTCTTTATGTTTTTCAGTTGAAATGAAATTTGTTCTTACTAAAAAATATGAACTAGGGGAAATTAGTAGAAATTGATGAATATATTAGGGATGAAAACTTTCATACAAGTGAGTTTTACTCATGTCCCAAAAACTCAATATGGAAAAAAAATGATTTTATGTTGCTCCAATTTCAATGACTGTGGTCAGGAACTTAGACAACAACAAATGTTTATGTGGCTGTAAGGTGGGAGGACAAATACTTCTAAATTGTGTTGTGGGAATATAAACTAGTATGATCCCTTGGAAATCAATATGAAAAATATAAATTTCATTTAATACACTTCTCCCGCATAGACTTAATGTCATCATATCACATTGAGACATACATGTCCATGTTTATGGCAGCACAATTAAAAATAACTACACTTTAGAAGAAGTCCGTCTGCCTATAAACAGAGGAACTGATAAAGAAAAAGATCAATAGGTACTGAGAGAGATAACTACTAAGCCATAAAGAAGTATAGTCTTGAGTCATTTATAGTAAAATGGAAGTGATTTGTAATGCTTTTGCTATATTAAACACAAAATTAAGTATTAAGAGGTTTTTGGTATGTGAAAAACACAAAATATAAGAAATTTAAATAGCAAAATTAAAGACAGATGACAGAAAATATGAGATAGTCCTTGTGGAGATTGGAAAGAGATCTGAGGATGGGAGCAGGATGGCCTAGAGGAGCAGGGGAAGTACAGATGATTACAATGCCATGTGTAAGTCCATTAATGCCTCAAAATGAGCAGCATTGTTATGTATTCAAATCAAATGCTGATAAAAATTTAAATATTAAGATACAAGTGATACAAGTAAGAGAAGAGCAGCATATTCCTGTTACTAGTTACCAATGAGTAGTTCAGTTTCCATTTTGTGACACGGGAAGAACTAGAAATTATAAGAATGCTGCACAAAACAATGATACTTCTAAACACTGTATTTTAGAAGATATCACTTTATCAGGGAAGTTATGTCAAAAGAATTTGATAACATTTGAACTTTTATTATGATATACCATTCTTCACTTAATTATAAATACCACCCTGATAAATAACACTCTATCAGATGTTTTGGGACTATTGGAAGTTTCTGATTCATTTCAAACGTAATAATCTTCAATTTGGAAACAAGGATGTGAATGAAGTGCTTTATTTGAAACCCAATCTCAAGGCAACACTGTGAGAATTTGGTAACGAAAGATAAAGAGAAAAAAAGACAATAAAATATTCCTAAATGTGACAGTGTATTCTGAAATCAAATTTAGTGATTGTTAGAAAATTGGAAGTACAGCAATTGTGAAGAATATGTCTCTAATTTGGCTAAACTAATTCCATTCATTTTCTGCACATTTTGGCAGATTTGATACAGGATTTTAACAGATGGGAACTTCTATTTGATAGCATAAGAAAATATGTGATTGATGTGAAGATGCCTTAATTATCTATGTATGCATGACCTAATCACGTCTTGTTATCATGTTAGCTATTTATTGCATTCAATTTTCATAAGTCCCCTCAGTTATTTTCTGGAAAATTTATAATGAAATGGAATACATAATTTCCTTTTCCTGAAATACCTGCCTCTGGTTTTAGTGCCAGTGTACAGCTGGCATCAAGGAATTAGACTGAAAGTTAAAATGACAGAAATGAGGAAAAATAACACGTGTACTTACAAATCTTAAGGCGAGTATTGATTTTCATATAATAAAATATTGGAAAATAGGTAGCTGAAAACCAGAATTAACCAAATTGTTCCTATTTATGCAACCTACAAATATTTCTTAGTACTGTTGTAAAGACATCATTGTTGGGCTGGGGATATAGCTCACAGTCTAACTGCTGCCTGGAAAATACTAGGACCCAAGTTTGATTCCCTGGTACCTTATGCTTTGCCATCCGCAGAACATCAGGTGTGCTATTGCAGGCCCAAAACCGAGTGGGGTGGTGCATGCTTGTAATCCCATCACTGGAGAAGCTGAGACAGGAGCTTCATAGTGAGACCTTGTGTCAAATGAATGAATGAAGAAATAAATAAATAAATAAATAAATAGATCCTCAAGTATTTAGTACAGTGTCTACAGGGTTTCACTGCACAGATTGGACTCATAGTGATCCTTCCTGTTTTTCAGCCTCCCAAGCACTGGGATTACAGGCGCATACCACCATGTCATCTCAATCATTGTCTCAGTGCACCCCAGGTGTGGGGCCAGCATGGCAGGCCAAGGAATGAATCCCTGGCCCCTGTGTCTGCCTAAGCAGCCACTTTAATCTGCTGAGCTGTATGGCTGCCGCAGAAAAATCTTAAAATGGCATCATGGTCAAAATAGAAATCATGGGCCGGGGAGATGGCTCTGGCTCAGGGGAATAAGGGCTTCCCTGGCAAGCGCAAGGGCCTGAGTTCAATCCCCGGTTCTGGAAAGGAAAGAAAGAAAGAAAGAAAGAAAGAAAGAAAGAAAGAAAGAAATCACATAAGAGAACAACTAGCTATGAATACACAACTTAACAATATCTGAAGGAATTTTCATTTCAAGTCTCACTGTGCAGCTCAGGCTGCCTTGAGCTCAATTTACAAATTGACCACCTCAGGCTGGTCTCAAACTAGCAATGATCCTCCTACCTCATTCTCCTGAGTTCTGAGATTATAAGAATGTACCACTATGCCTGGTTTTAAGTAACTTTTTTACTTTTTTTAAGAGAATACAAATTGGAATTAAAACAGAAAAACTCACAAGGCACTCATAATTTCTCTTAAAAAAGTAAAATGAATTCCTCAGTATTTATTGTAATACGTAGTGTTGTCTTCCAACCAGTTATTCACATTACCAAATATATGCATATAAAATTGCAAGAATAAAGAAAGAAATGCATGAGAAATTAAGAAAAGAAAAAGTACAAATAATTGAAAAAAAGATGAAAGAAATTTAAGCATTAGCTGCTTCTTTCAGTAGACCAGTAGAGTTGTCCAAATCATCCTGCTTCCATACATAGATAAATCTCTTCTTCAGTCCCTGTCTCGTCCTTCTCCTCAACTTAGTAACTTTCTTTTTGAATAAGTTCAATCTTTTTCCGAATATCTATTTTACCCTTTAGATTCCATTTTTCTCTTTCAGATTTTCACATTAAGGAGACAATACAATGTTTGCACAGGAGAGTATGATTTATTTCATTCAGGAATATGTTCTCTAGTTGCATCCATCCTGTTTTACTGCTGAATAATACTCCATTGTGTAAAAATACATTTTCTTTATCTATTCTGAAGGAGGTGTGTGTGGTCACTGAATAGATGATTTTGGGCCAAAAGAGAGTGTATGAGTTGATGAAGAGCCTGAAATAATTATAGTATTTTAAAAAAAATTTTGAGTTAATCCTTCTTCACAAATATTTTCACAACTCTTTCCCGAATTTGTTTGGTCCTTACCCCATAAATAACTGGATTTAAACACGGAGGAACAACCACATACAAATTGGCCAGAAGGATGTGAATGTAACGGGGAACATTTCTACCAAAACGGTGAGTCATGAAGGAGAAAAACGCTGGGGTGTAAAATGCTAAGATGACACAGACATGTGAAACACATGTACTAAGTGCTTTGCTCCTGGCGTCCCTGGAAGGAAGGCGGAAAACAGCTTGGAGGATCTGAACATAAGAGAGCACAATAAGGATTAAGTCCAAGATGAGTGCTGCGATGGTGAATAGGCCATAGATAATGTTGACCCGTATGCTGGCACAGGCCAGACGAGCGATGCCCATATGTTCACAGTAGGTGTGAGGGATGATGTGGTGTCCACAGAAGGGCAGTCGTTTCAAAAGAGGACAGAAGGGAACCACAAGGAGGACTGGTCTGGCCACTACAAAGGAGGCCATGCTGGCCACCACCTTATTGGTAAGAATACTGGTATATCTGAGTGGGTAACAGATGGCCACAGAGCGGTCAATTGCCATGGCCAGGAGCACAACTGATTCCATTCCAGTGTAGGTGTGGATAAAGAACATTTGGATGAGGCAGCCCTCAAAGCTGATCTCCCTCAGGTTGAACCAGAAGATGCCCAGCATCTTGGGGATGGTGGAAGTGGAGAGGCCCAGATCGATAAAGGACAGAAGAGCAAGAAAGTAGTACATGGGCTGATGAAGGCTCTGCTCAGTCTTGATCACACATAAGATCGTGAGATTCCCCACAAGAGCTACCAGATAAACAACAAAGAAAGGGAAGGCGATCCAGATATGGAAAACTTCTAGACCTGGGACTCCCAGCAGAAGGAAGGCTGAAGGGTATGAGGCTGAGGCTGTGTCATTCACAGAGGACATCATCCTGCTGAGAAGTCTTGAAAGGTACTTGATTGTCTTCAGGATTTCTGGGGAGACACAATGGAATACATGGTGACAGGATATTGGTATTATATAATATCATCTAAGTTAAACCCCCAACTTACTAAAAGAAGGAAATTAGTGAACTTTAACAGAGATTCTCAAAGTATTGATAAGTTAATATTGATAGAATATTGGAGAGTTAGAAACCATGGTTTGTAGTGGTAATAGCTAACTTATTTGTTAGTATAAATTATCTAATGAAAACCTCTCCAGTAACTAGACTCAACTACCTTAGGTATTGAGTTGAGCAGACTTTTAAGGAAAAATCTCTCAAATGTTATTCAATTATAAAATATTAGAACAATTTAGGGAATTTATGATCCAGATGATATGTAATCATAATACAGTATATCTCTCATAGTACTGCCTGTCTAGGTTTTACTGTTCTCTTTTCATGCCTAATTAATACTGTATTTATATCTTTCTATCAGTCTAAATGCTTTCATTGATGAATCAATCATAGTATTTTGACATTAAATACTTGTCTTTCACAATAAAATGCAATAATACAAATCATAATTTCAATACAGGCAGAAAAGATATTTAGCATACAAGTATGGTATCTTACAAACAGCTTTATATAAATTAAACAAAATAAATCTGCTTGGTTTGATAAACACAGAAACAGCTAACATAATATTGAATGTTTATATGCTGATATTTTCCCCATAGAAGTAAGAATATTATAATTATATCAAATAGCATTAATTATATATAACACTTTACTGAAATTTCTAGCAAGTTCAATATATCAAGCAAAAGGAAATAACACACATGAGTGGAATAATAAATAAACCTTTTGACATTACTGCATGGGCAACCAATTCTGGAAGGGTCTGTTGGGACCCTTAACAGAGAAATACAGGTGCCATGCCCATCCCCCATGCCACAGGAACCACAGCCAGCTTAGGACTGTGCTTGTGACTCAGCAACCAGCTGTGACAGGGAAGTTCATGGGCCTGACCCATCCCTTCCATGACATGAAGCACCTGGCATCTGGCAATTGGCCTACCCAGAGCAACAAGGGTAAAGCCATTCTAACATACTATGAGTCCAAACTCCTAATCTATATTTTTTTGTTATAGAACTATAGACTTTGTTCCTACAAAATCAACAGTCATGAAACTGTCAATATGTACATTTTCAATGATGCAATCATTGTTGCAAGTTATATTACTAAACCTAGGATGTTATATAAGTTTTAATCACTTATCTTCCCTTGAGTAACAATATTGGGAAACACTGGGTGGTAATTTCACCACAACCCTACAGCCAAAAGATGAAGGACAGTGCCAAATGGAAACCAATATCCCACTCTCAGTTAATTGAACAGGCAGGATCTCAGGACAGAGAGAAACCAAGAATCTTTGATATGCAGAAGATATCACTGAAGAACATACATTTTCTAGAGAGGCCTTGGTAGTAGTGTTATAGTTGCCTATTAACAAACTTTCACAGAAATCAAAATAAAGAATTCCTTTGGAAACAGAAAGTGACAACTCAAAGGAGGAAAATGCCATTTCAGACGTCCATCCCATTGAGAACAAGTCCAGGATACATCTACATAGAAGAAATTGGTGGACACTTACCTAAAATCTCTGAAATGATAGCCACTGAAGTAAAGAAACAAGTCCAGGCATGTACAGAAAATAAGATCAGAAATAATCTCTCAGGTAAGAAACAAAAAGATGACCATAATGAAAGAGCTTATGAATATGTTTAAATAAGACATAGTTTAAGTAAAATAGAGAAACATAGAAAAATGATTAAAAACTTCAATGAACAATATAGGAAAGACTTAGCATGCTTAAAACAGATTCAAAGAGATATCCAAGAAATTAAAAACTCCATTTAATGCTGGCAAAACCATTTGAATGAAACTGAAAATAGACTTTTAGGCCTTGAAGGTAATATTGCAGCTAGTGACCATACCAAGAAAGCTCTCCTAAAAACAATGAATAAAACAGGAATAATTCAAGAGCTGGAAGATGATGGAAAGATGAACAATATAAGACTGATGGGTATAAAAAAAAAGACAAGAGTTAACACAGATGATATAAAAAGACTGTTTGCAGAAGTAGTAGCACAAAATTTCCCAAGAATGGGGAAAATATCTCACATTTAAATGAGGCATACAGAACTTCAACTAGTATTAATCAAAGTAAATCTACACCCAAATGTATAATCAAGATCCCAGAAATTCTGTACAAGAAACAGCACATTAAAAGCTGTTAGAGAAAATAAACAGATCAATTCTAATGGAAAGCCCAACAGAATCACATCAGACTTCTCAACATAAACCATCAAGTCAAGAAAAGCTTGAAGTGAAGTACTTCAAGTCCTGGAAAAAAACACCTTCAAATCCACATTAATGTACTCTATAAAACTAACTTTGAAAATTAACGGAGGAGTAAGGTACATCTATGACTGAGAACAACTAGACATTCATGACCACCAAATCAACTCTAAAAAGAGTATTGAAAGATATGCTAAAAAGACCAAAAAAATGACCACAATTACAAAAGTAACAAAAAGAAACCACCAGGCAAGACAAGCAAATAAATGCAAGGGAAAAGTAGGGAACCAATAGCAGGAAAATAACACAGCAAAGATAAACCAGTGAATATCAATTATAACCTTCAATGTAAATGACCTCAATTCATCTATTGAAGAACCACTGGCAAAGTGGATCAAGATACAAAACCCAACAATATGCTGTACAGAATAAACATATTTAGCCCCAAAAGGAAATTCACATACTGAAAAATCAAAGAATAGAAATCAATACTCCATTTACCAGGAATCAAGAAAAAGGTCAAGGTAGCTATTCTTTTCCCAGACAAAGTGAACTTCAAAGCAAGAATGATTAAATAAGATAAAAAGGGTCACTACATACTTGTCAGGGGAAAGCAAGAAGTAGAGATAACAATTATAAGTATGTATGCTTCACATATCAGAGCACTGAACTATACAACAAATTGTAACGGATATGAAAAATCAAATAATCAATAAAACAATTTTAACATGGGACCATTGTCACAAAGATATAGACAAAAATAGCAAGTAAATAACAGAACTGAACCAAAATTGTGAACAAAAGAACTTAGTACACGTTCAGAGTGTTCCACCCAACAACATCTGAATACACATTCATTTCAGGTGCACATGGGACACTCTCTAAAATAGAATTCATAACATGTTTAAATAAGTGCACATGAATTTAATCATCACATGTATTTTATCTGACCATTGTGCAATGAAACTGGAAATTAATGACAAAATAAATTGCAGGAAACTCCATAAGCAAGTGGAAATTAAATAACAATCTCCTGAACAACCAGTGGATCATAGATGAAATTGAAGAAGTTAAACAATGTGGACAATCAAGTAAAAATTCAAACACATCACAATTTGAGGGATACAGTGAAAGCTGTTCTCAGAGGAAAATTTATAGTACTGAATGAGAATTTAAAAATAGACTAATGCTGCACATCAATCTAGTAGAAAAAGAAGAGCGAGTCAAGCTGCAAACCAAAAGAAGGCAGGAAATTATAAAAGTCAGAGCAGAAATTAATGCAATTGAGGCAAAGAATACAATACAAAGAATTAATGTATCAAAATAGAATCTTTTGAAAGATAAAACAAAACTAATTTAGTCTTAGCTAAATTTATCAAAAAAGGAAGTAAACAATTCAAACTCATGCAATAAAGAATAAAATGTGTGAAATCACTACAGTCCATGTAGAAATTCAGAAGATCATTAATACCTACTTTCAAAATCTTTACTCTCACAGGATGGAAAGCACAGAGGAAATAGACAGTTTCCTAGACACATATGAATTAAGCTGAATCAAAAAACCTAAATAACCCAATATCAGTCAATAAAATTGAAAATGTAACTAAAAACTTACCAACAAATAAAAGGTGAGGTCCTGATAGATATATAGTTAATTGTGCAAAAATTTAGAGAAGATTTGATACCAATTATTCTCAAACTATTCAATGAAATTGAAAGTGAAGTAATTATTCCAAACTAATTCCTAGAGGCAACTATCACACACCCACCAAAGCCAAAGAAAGACCAACAAAACAAGAGAACCACAGGCCAATATCCTTAATGAACATAGAAGCAAACATCCTCAATAGAATACTGACAAACTGAATACAGGAAATCATCAAGAATATTATATACCATGACCTGGTAGAGTTCATCCCAGGGATGCAAGGATCATTCAACATAGGCAGATCTGTGACTATAATACACTATATTAACAGAGCCAAAGACAAAAAAACACATGATAATCTCAAAAGATGCAGAAAAAGGTATTGACAAAGTCTACTACTACTTCTTGATAAAAGCCCTATAGAAAATTGTAATAGATGGTCTTTACCTCAATCAGGTAAAAGTCATCTATGATAAACTAATGGCCAATATAATATTAAATAAGCAAATACTAAAAGATTTCACTCTAATACCAGGTACAAGACAAGGATGTCCAGTATCACCCCTCATATTCAATGGGAAGCATTAGCCAGAGCAATTAGAAAAGGGAGAGAAATAAAAGGAATAATAAATGGAAACTGAGAACTGAAATGATCATTATTTGCAGATGACATGATACTCTAAATAGGAGACCAAAAATACTCCACCAAAAGACTCCTAGGATTAATAAACAAATTCGGTAGTATAGAAGGATATAAAGTCAGCATCCAAAATCAGTACCATTCCTGTATAAAAATAATGAACTCACTAAGAAAGAAATTAGTGAAGCCACACCCTTCACAACAAAATCCAAAACAAAACAAAACAAAACAAAACCATGAAATACTTACGAATCAGTCTCTTAAAGGAAGAAAAGATCTATACTTTCAGTTCTCTGAAAAAAGAGATTGAAGATAATTTCACAAAGAGGAAAGCATTCCTTGGTCATAGATAGGAA